TGCCATCTGGGGACCTGGTGCTAATCTGTGTAGAACTACAAAGTTTGCTTGAAAAAATTAAAGAAAAATGTTGTTCTGTATCTTAAAGCAGGTGAATTGGAGAACATGAACATGAACCCCCATTCTGAAGAGAGAAAGGATCACAGAGATTACTAACTTTGTTCACAATTACTGAGCATGTTTGCTGGAGCTTATGCATGCAAACTGAGTTTTTACGAAGGCTTTCAGTCAGGTCAGGCCTGGTTCTGAGGCCAGTGTAAAGATCAAAGTGGTGCATGATGGGAATGTGTGGGACACAAACTAGAGATTTTCTCCATTGTGATCTTGAGCTGGACTGTCTCGTCACTTAGTAAACTGTTGCTTTACATGCTAACCAACTATGGAAGTTTCCATAGGAGTCTATCAGGATGGATCAAGTTGTTTGTCTGTTTAATGATGGAGTTGTATATCATTATAACAGAGGGGTTCCAGATATGAATCAGAGCATGTTAATTATTTATTCTCTCTCCGTGCTGATTTGGCAGTTTTTGGGACTAATTAGCATACGCCGCAGTGTGGTGCATAAAGAGCAGCTTCACCAAGACCCCCTCACTGCTAATGAGAGGGCACACCTCTAACATCTGACCTCAGTCAAAGAGACTGACAGAGAGAGAAAGAGACAGAGAGAGATGGATGTGTGTAGCAGAGGACTGTCAATTCTCTACTCTTTCTTGATCCTGTTCACAGCAAATGTGAACACCCACTGCAAAATAGAGGAATGAGCATGCACAATTAAATGTTAACTTTTAAAAATAAGCAGTTTTAACATGGAACCTTTCAAGTGCAAAAAATGTTCTTTAGATTATTCAAATGTTCTTCACACTAAGAAAAAAAATTTCTTTTAAGAATTGTTCACTAAAAGGTTCTTTGGAGAACCCACATTTTTTCTTCTATGACACTGCTGCTAAAATCCACTGTTGGAACCTTTATTCATGTCTGTTCAATATTGGCTGATCCAATCAAAAATAAAAAAAACATTAATAACAACCGATAACCAAGATGGTACTGATATTCTTTGAAGAAATTGTGTCATTGTTTACTCACACTCATGTTGTTCTAAACCTTTATGACCTTCTTTCTTCTGTGGAAAATTAAAGAAGATATTCTGAAGAATGTTTTGGTGTTTTTTTTAATACAATGAAAATCAATGGGGTCAAATGCTAAATGCAATATAAAACCTTAAAATAATATATTTTTTAAACAGTCACTTTTTCAAACCTCTTCTTGGTTGGAAATTTCACATCCAAAAGTCTACTAAAACACTTCTACATGTCTCAAATCAAGTAATTCCTCCATAACACAAACGTCAAAAAAGTGACCTAAGTTTTGAGAAATGTGTCCTAGCAATTATATAAACGGTAAAGAATGTTTCATTTTTTTTCCATTCAATGATAACCATTAAGGTCAAATGGTAATTTGCACCCACTGACTTTTACTCAATGGACCAAAAAATTCTGAATCATTCGTCAAAACACACCTTCTTTTATGTTCCATAGAAGAAAGTTATACAGGTAACGATGTGAGGATGAGTAAATGTTGACAGAAATTTCATTTGTGAACCTTTAGGTATGAGTTTAAAATGCAGGGATGTAGCCTCTCTAAATAAGGTCTAGCGATGGCTATGTCTTAATGTAGACAAATCCTGACCCCCACACAGCCTTTCTCCAGAACGGGTTCAGTCCTAATTTCAGGAAGCAAAGCAAACTGTACGTCAGTTAACATAGCAATTTCACCTTTCTCTCACCTCAGTGCACAATCCGTATATAACAACCATAAAGTCTAGACAGCAATCATACAGCTCTGCCGCTTGATTTCTTTTTCTTTCACCTTTTAAGCAGCTCTATAAAAAAGTTATTTAACTTTCGCACTGTCTCCAACACAAACCACACAGCTGTTCTCAGATGGTCCCCTTCTGTCAAACCCACTACAGCGAACACACACTTACACAATATCTGACACACACCTCACCTGTACCGAATTAACCGACAAGGCACTGTTAAATGACTTTAATGCAAGATTTATGGATGGAAACACTTACGAAAATCCTTTTATCGACTGACATAACAGTTTTGCCTCTGGAAGGATTTCAAGACGTCTGCAGTAAAAAGTGGAAAAACCTTGTGGGATTTGATTGTTTTGTTTTGTTTATTACATTCCCATATTAAAAAGACATTACAGGGCATCTGTTTGGCTGTGCTCAGAAAGGCGTCTCACGAGGGGAACATGCAATTTATGAGGAGAGTGCTGCATATTTTAGGAGAGCCCATACTGTACATTAGGACCGGAACATTAGGTACATTAGGAAATGAAAAGCAGCAGATGAGATATCATTAATATATTATTCTCTTCTGCAGCAATGAAATTAAACAAAGAGCAAACTGAGACCTTTTGCTGATGCCTCTCACTTCACACGTTTTCTTATGAGAAAAAGAGCAGAGTCATCTCACATGTGCTTCTTCTGGAGTTTTAGAAGAGATCTCAAAAATATCTTTAACTGTGCTCAGATTTTCCAAGATGTCAAAACTGCAATCAAATTTGAATTCAGACCTTCAATTCAAATTTCAAAGTAAGGTAGAACAGAAATAACTGAAATTCTAAGAAACATTTTTGTCAAGACAGTGTTAAATATTTGCTTAAAAATGCCTTTGAAAGTTTTGAAAAAAAGCCATATACACTCTTAAAAATAAAGGTGCTTCACGATGCCATAGAAGAACCTTTGTGTTTAAATGGTTCTATAAAAAACTTTTACCATCTGAAGAACCTTTCTGTTTCACAAATGGTTCTTTGGGGTGAAAGAAGGTTCTTCAGATTATAAAAAGGTAAGAAAGAGATGGTTCTTTAAAGAACCTTTGACTGAATGGTTCTTTGTGGAACCAAAAATGGTTCTTCTATGGCATCGCTTGAAGAACCTTTTGAAGCACCTTTATTTTTAAGAGTGTAGATAGATAGACAGACAGACAGACAGACAGACAGACAGAAAAATGATAGACTGATATAAAGATATAATGATAGCACGATATAATGATAGATATAATAGATAGAACGATAGAACGATAGATATATACTATCTATCTATCTATCTATAGACAGACAGACAGACAGACAGACAGAGAGACAGACAGATAGATAGATAGATAGATAGATAGATAGATAGATAGATAGATAGATAGATAGATAGATAGATAGATAGATAGATAGATAGATAGATAGATAGATAGATAGATAGATAGATAGATAGATAGATAGATAGATAGATAGATAGATAGATAGATAGATAGATAGATAGATAGATAGATAGATAGATAGATAGATAGATAGATAGATAGATAGATAGATAGATAGATAGATAGATAGATAGATAGATAGATAGATAGATAGATAGATAGATAGATAGATAGATAGATAGATAGATAGATAGATAGATAGATAGATAGATAGATAGATAGATAGATAGATAGATAGATAGATAGATAGATAGATAGATAGATAGATAGATAGATAGATAGATAGATAGATAGATAGATAGATAGATAGATAGATAGATAGATAGATAGAATGACAGACTGATAGAAAAATGATAGACTGATATAAAGATATAATGATAGCACGATATAATGATAGATATAATAGATAGAACGATAGAACGATATATATATACTGTCTATCTATCTATAGACAGACATACAGACAGACAGAGAGACAGACAGATAGATAGATAAATAGATAGATAGATAGATAGATAGATAGATAGATAGATAGATAGATAGACAGACATATGGACAGACAGACAGATGATGATGAAGGCGAGCGCAACCCCGATGGATGAAGCGATCAGAGTGGTCACCAGAAAGTAAGACACGGCGATTCCTCCGAGCTTTCCCAGCGACCGCGTGTCCAGACTCGCAGCGCCAGAAATCAAACTGCAAACCACTAAAGGAAGGATGATCATCTTGAGCATCCTCAGCAGCATCTCTCCGGGGAAGGCGAAGTAAGTCATCTGCGCTCGGGATAGGTTCATGTTCCGGACCATCATCCCGAGCCCGACGCCCACCAGAACCCCGGACACCGTCAAGAGCACTAGGAGATTTCTTTTGAGGAAGACCATGAACCGGTCTTTAAAGCTGTTCTTTTCTGATTTTGTTGAGACTGCTGGTAACGGGTTTTTGTGCCCGGCGTGTCCATTGATTTCGCTCTTCTTTTCCTCCATGATTTTCCTACACGCTCAGTCTTTCCACACGTTTAAAAGAGTAGGCTACCAGGCTTTTCTCATCAGCAGCGTGCGTGCGCTTGGAATGGAGCGGACTGGAGAGCGCTTGTAAAAACCAGCCGGCACTTATAGACATGTGCTGCATCTACCAATGACGAGGGGTCTTTTAAAGATGAAGAACCAGGGCATGCGCACTCCTGGACCACTATGAAATGATGCAACAAGGCAAAGGGTTGCTGATATCCGTGCATATTATAATTATCATTATTATTTTCTATTTTGTGTTAATAAATGTCATTGTGCCATCTAGAGACAGACAGATATCTATCTATCTATCTATCTATACAGAGACAGACAGACAGACAGACAGACAGACAGACAGACAGACAGACAGACAGATAGATAGAACGATATAATGATTGCCCAAGCCTGGTCTCCATTAGGTCTCCTGGGCTATGATAGAGCAACCTCTGAACAAAAAAATCTCTTGAACATGCTGTGAAAAGGACATTGCACATATCTGGCTGATGCGGATGCTGGTTTATACTGCTGTGAGGAGGGCAAGGCATTATACACCACAGGAACAGACACACACTTTGATGTTTGTTTCCCATTATAATCTGTGGGCTGTAATGTGATAGTGAGTTCAGGTAAGGTTAACAGGATTTTTTAAAGCTCTTAAAACATGTGTTCGAAAAAGAGTTGAGCACACGCACAGACGCACACACCCACATATATCTGAGCACGCACTTACAGAAGGAGCTGTTTTCGTCCTTTGTGCCGTCCAAGGTGCCATCGGGTAACATTTGCAGGTAGAAGCCATGCCGACAATACAGACGTGTGACGATACCTTTCAGCTGAGGCTCTGAGAAAAAGAGAGATAACATTTCATTAGACATGTTGTGCCTATGCTAGAAAAGGAAATCTCAATGCATCAAGAATACATGCTGGTGCTACAACAGTGAAGGTTATATCAGGATGCCTGAATTAAGAAAGACACACACACACACACACACACACTAACAAGCACAAACCAGTCCATACATCTTTAATTTTACAGCTTACCTCAAAAGACTTGAACTGTGTCAGCCATAACAAACTCAAATACAAGCATCCATGTTTACAAAGCACATTAGGACGATAAGAAGTTGTTTCTGTCCGTACTGGACAATGGACTGTGGTGTAATAACAGGAACAAATCAATCAGGGCGTCTCTGTCTTTTATCTCCTTTTCTTGGAGTTTACAGCACCAACAAAACAAACTACATAAAAGAGTTCAGTGAACTGCTATAACATAATCTAAACTCATTCTAGAAAGAGATGCAAAACAGAGGAATTGTTCAAATGTATTGCATAAAACTGACAAATAAGTACCTTAAAGTGATAGTCCACCCCAAAATAAATTCTGTCATTGTTTACTCACCCTCATATCGTTTCAAACCTGTGTGATTTTTTTCTTCTTCTGTGGAACACAATTTACAAAAGAAGATATTTTGAAGAAAAACAGTTTAGATTCCCATTGACTTCCATTATATTTTTTGACCATACAAATCAAAGTCAGCGGAATTCAAAATAACTTCTGTTGTGTTCTGCAGAAGCAGGAAAGCCATACAAATTTGGAACGACATGGGTGAGTAAATTATTTGTGTGTGTTTGTGTGAACTATCCCTTTAAATATTATATTACAATATGGTAATAATCATTCAGTATCATTGTACCACGGTGCCTGATACCACTGTACCATGGTACTTTCATAGTAATTTTTAAGGGACATTTTGGGCTATCTGCTAAGAGAGGGCTCTCTGCTCTGCTTAAGAAAGGTTACTAAAAATAAAATAAAAAACAAATAAAATATATTCTGGTTTTATGGGGTTTTGAAGGAGAAGGGAGGTGATAGATAATCAAATAACCGCTGCAGGGATGTGCCTAGCAGTCTGCTGGAGATCTGTGTAAAACAACACAAGTGGGACACTGGTAATAGAACAGGAATATTGTGAGATGTCACTGTGCTAAAGCATGTATATTAAAATCACATGCTTTACTATGTAGGAAACCAACAGCTTTGGGTGTGCATACAGTTGCTTAATGACTAATAGCAACTAAACAGGCACATTTATAAAAATCATATTTTTAACATTATTAATAATATTAACTTTAAAGTGCACTGTGTCGGAAAATCTGAAGTGAATAAAGTAAAAGCAAAGGCATATTAAATGTGGGCAAATGGTGTTATCTAACTACCCTCAACAAAACTTACTACAAAAATAACACAGCTTTTTTTTAGATGGATTTTAAGTGTAAACACAGGCTGCTTTTTAAATATTAAGCGATCCCATTAAAAGCACAGATGACAGGTAAAATGTCTATTGTTGCAGCAGCCGTCCAGAGCCTAGAGTCTAGAGAAAGAAAAATTGCAAATAATATATACTAAATAATACTATATTAGAAAAATATTTTCTAATTTGTTTAATTTTCTACTTTGCCATCACGAGTAAATTACATTTTAGAATGTATTAAAATAGAAAACAGTTATTATAAATTGTAACAATATTTCACAATATTACAGTTTTTACTGTATTTTTGATCAAATAAATGCAGCCTTGGTGAGCGTAAGAAAAATCTTACCGACCCCAAACTCTTTTTTCACTCTTTTTTCCCAAATGCTCACTTTGTGTGCCTCTCCCATTTCCTCTCAGCACTCCCTCTATGTAAAACACTGCAGAAATAGTTTGGTCTTTCTCTCTGCAGGCTTCTATTTGCTAGTGTCCATTGATCAGTTTTGAAGGTGAGGCCCTGAGGGGCCAAACTACAGTTTTAACATTCAGCTACATGGCACAGTGTCTGGCTGCCACCGCCACAGTCCACAGACAAATCACCGCTCACAGAAGCTGGGAAAGAAATATGTGTGCGCCTTCGCAATAAAGGCTCCACACAAAGCAAAGAGGCGGCCAATAACGATATTCACAGATTAAACCCACATATTCTGCCGTGTTAAGGCACATTTCCTTCATCTCCTCCGACTCGGTTGATTCAGGTTGTGAAGGAAATTCCCCGCAGATCAGTCTTTGTCAGCCTCTTTAGTAGCGCTGCCGTGACACGCTTTGAAAGCCACACACAGAGCGGTGCTGATGCACAAGCCCTCTCTGTCTTCAGTCTGCACTGCATAACCATAAAACCCATCTCCGGGGACAGAGGGTGTGAAGGGCACTCCTGATGGGTGATATTGATGTGCGTTTGAGTGCGTGCGCTCAGGGATGCCAGTCTGCCAAGAGCCCAGGCTTCAACAAAAGTTACACAGACACATTGACCCACCGGGGACATCATCTGGTTAGAGATCTCCTTTCCCTCTCTATGCCTCGCTATCTCTCCTATAAGCCCCGTCATGGTGAGTTATGTGGTTTTGCATCTCTCTGAATAACACCATACATCAACCAATCAGCTGGAGATGGAGTCGTCGCCTTCCCAAGGGGGAGAGAAAAGTGAACGAGTGTTACTGAGGGAGAACAAGAGAGGGGGCAGAAGTTATGACACAGTTATTTTATTGGAAGACATTCACACGCTAAATAAAAGAGGAAGACTCTCATACTTCACGCAAAGCATCGATAAAGCTTTCAGGCACAACAGATCCTAACAAAAGTCTGGCTCCTGCACTGCCATATTTCATTTGGAGCAAGAAAGGGAGAGGGGAGGCGAGAGACGAAGAGAGATACAAACAAAAATAAGACTGCATTTATTATCCAGCATGTGAGCACATTTAAGGGGTCATATCATGGGTTTAAAAAAAAAATTCTTGAAATCCACCTACAATCCTACTTACGTTTGTGCCAAAAACAGATATATTTTACAGTTTTGGATGATCATTTCGTTTCTCTGACCCTTAGAAATAAAAACCTGTTTTTTGTGCTGACTTTAAGAAATGCCATTTCATCAGTACTTACAGTTTCCGTAATTTTTGTAAGAAATGAATACGTATATTTAGTAAGAATGCATTAAATTGACCAAAGTTCCAATATAGGCTTTTACATTGTTATAAAAGTAAAAACAGTATAAATGCTTTTTTTTTTTACTTTCTATTCATCTAAGAATCCTGAAATATATGTTCTTCTGAAAACTGTTTCCACAAAAATTCTAAAACACTGATAAAAATAAGAAATGTTTCTTGAGCACCAAATAAGCATATTTGAATGATTTCTGAAGGATCATGTGACACTGAAGTCTGGAATTATTCACGGGAATATTAATAATATTATTAATATTAATCACAGGAATAAATTACATTTTAGCCTTGGTGAGCATGAGACTTATATATATAAAATCTTACAGACCCCAAACCTTGTGGTAGTTATTGCACATTTCAATGCTAGACGCAAAAGAACTTTGTAAGAAATCCTATTAAGAGTTAAAATCTCCACTGCACAAATGTGTAATGCTGAACTACTAATAGATGAATAACTCTATAATGGTCAGAAGCTATTTAAATGTACAACAAATACAGTTCAAATTCAACGAAACAGTCCCACTCAGCAAAACTAAAAGCATATGAATCAGATCATCTTATAAACATAATTCTGATTCCTCTCAACTGCCTCTCCATATTAAAAACCTGCAGACTACTTGTTTTGCATAAAATTGCAAAAACATACTTGTCAAGCACAATATTGTCTGTGCCGTCCAACAGGAGTGGAAGTGTACAAGTGCATGCTTCATATTCAGAGGACGTATTGGGCTAAAGTGCATAAAATTACAGTGGACGCTCCCTGGCCTAATGTGACTGTGAGTAATGAAGGGGGGCGGGGCAGAGCTAGCCAAGGCTATAATGATAATATTTAGCTGGACACTCAATCACTTGCCCTGGGAACAACTCTTACATTTCTCACCAAACAACTGACCCAAACTCAGATCCATCCATCCATCCATCTATCTATCTATCTATCTATCTATCTATCTATCTATCTATCTATCTATCTATCTATCTATCTATCTATCTATCTATCTATCTATCTATCTATCTATCGTTAGATCATTGTATCATTCTATCCATCCATTCAAATCTATCTATCAACTGTTGATCAACTATCCATCCATCCATCCATCCATCTCTATCTCTCTATCATGGTTAGATCATATTATCGTTCTATCCATCCATTCAAATCTACCACATCTATTCATCCATTTAAATCTATCTCCATCCATCCATCCATCGTTAGATGGATTGTATTATTCCATCCATCATTAGATCTTTGTACTGTTTTTCCCACCATCCATCTCTATCCATCATTCCCCCATATCTATCTCCATCCATACATCCATCGTTAGATCATTGTACCATTCTATTCATCCATTCAAATCTATCTATCTACTTTCGATCAGCTATCCATCCATTCCTCCCTATCTATCATGGTGAGATCACTGCATCATTCTATCCATTCATTCAAATCATCAAATCGTCAAAAATTCATCCATCCATCTATCGTTAGATCACCGTATAATTTTCTACATCCATGTAAATCCATCCATTGTTAGATCATTGTACTGTTTTTTTCCAGCCATCCATCTCTATCCATCATTCATCCATATATATCTCTATCTATCCATCCATTGTGAGATTTCATTGTTCATTCATTCTATTTATCAGTCTTTCTGTCAATGGATGTCAATGCAGGGAAATGTCAAGAAAAACATGCATACACAGAGGTCACAACAGACAGGAATGTGCAGTTTGGGATTAATTAAAGTCAGACTAATGGGCCTTTTTTCTTCTGTAAAGCTTAATGATTTGTGTCTAAACGAGCTGGGACATGTCTGAGGCCTGCCGATAGCGGGATGAGAGAATGCAGGGAAGGGGAGAGATGGAGAAGAAGAGCA